ATATACTCTTTCACCTTCTCTCCTGTCACACAGCTACTGCCCCTAGTTCAGGTTCTCATAACCTTAGACTTAGAAGCATAAACTGTTGTCTTAGCTCCCTGATTGCTACCTGTTTTCAATCTCTCTCCTCTCCAGTCCATCCTCCATATAGGTATCAAATACATATTCCTAAAGTACAAATTTGACCTTGTTGTTCCCCTAATCAAGAAGTTTCATTAATTCCCTATTATTTCAGGAAGAAATGCAAGTTCCTCTGTTTGGCATTGAAAGCCTTGTACAGTCTGGCTCCAATCTCTTTCTAAATTGATTTCACATTACTTCACTCTCATATTTTGTGTACCAACCTACTGGCCTACTTGCTGTTTCCTGTACATAACATTCCATCTTCTGCTTCTCCCTTTGCTCAGATTGCCCCTTATGCTAGAAATAATGCCCTTCTTCAGCCTCTTAAAATCCCTAGCTCCATTTAAGATTAAATTTAAATGCCTCTTTCTAATGAAATGTTTCCTGATTGCCCACCTCTAGATGTTAGTGCTCTCTCTCCCTCTCCTGATGACCTAAGAGTGATTAAAAATGAAATGAAAAGCAAGATGACAGAGCAAAATAAATGGAAATATCTGTCAGCATTTCTGTAAACAAATTCTTCATCACTAATAGTGCATCTCCCATATTTGGACTTTAACATCTTAGTTCTCAGTTTGCAGCATAAAGAAGTTGAAATATGTAAGAAAACAAAGTTTAAAAGAAGCAGGATCACACAAAGTATACTAAGAAGAAATTTGTACAATTTTGAATGCTTTAAGAGATGGATTCCAAATATCTTTCAAGATATTTTGAAAGAGAGGATAATACCAAATGTTTCAGGGTGAGAGGAGAGGTATTACCATTTCAGAAAGGTGAAAAAGTTCAGAAAGTACTGAGCAAAAGGCTACTGACCCACATACCTACTTTATGAGAATGGTCTACACAGGTATTGAGGATTTCTGTGCTAAAAAAATATATATGAAAAGGGAACCAGCAGGCTTTTTCAAACAGTATTCTATACTAGACCACATATTTACAGTTATATAATTGACTAAGATGTAGAGAATACAAAGAAAAAATCCCATTTGTTGATTCTTTAAAAACATTGAGTTCATAAAGTAAAATGTAGCCTTAAAAAACTAACTTCCAACAAGCTTGTGTTTCCTATGCTTATGTCAAAATCACCACGATGGAGCCTACAAAAGGTGAAACAAAGGGAAAGAGGGAAGGGAACAAGCATTTAAGTACCTACTATGTCTTGGCACTTTGCAAATTTCAATTTCAGTTGATCCTCACAACAACCTTATGAAGTAAATGCTATTATTATCCTCATTCCATAGTTGAGAAAACTTTGTTTAGCTCTCTGATTATTAATGTCAAAATGGGCATAAAATATGGAGACATGCTCACCAAAGCTGTTTGCCATTGTCTTCAAGGATGTCCAACATAGAGTTTAGATGGAAGAGGGGTTCCCTCTGAATGTTGAGGTCTTTCACATGCTTCTGATTTCAGGCGATTATGTTGATTGCATCAAGCCCCAGAATATTACAGAACCTGTTAAATGAGATTCATAATCATTGAAAGGAGTTTGGCCTAACTATTCACACAGGAAGAAAGTAATGTATGAAGAATGCCTTTTGTCCAGACTATGATGTTATGAACAGCCATAGAACTGGTCCATTGGTACATATATATTGGACACATGCTGTAGATGGATAGTAACTTGGATAGGAAAAAGAACAGGCTAGATTGCATTTAGGAAATTATGCAGTATTTTTAATGATCCCAAGCTTCTCCTTAAAACAGAAACTCCTATTTCTAATACTGATAGTCTTCTGGTGAGAGATAGCTTATCATACTGGATAGAGCACAGGCTTCAGAACCAGGAAGACCTGAGTTCAAGTCCTGCCTCAGACACATACAAGTTTTGTGACTCTAGGCAAGTCACTTAATCTTTCATTGCTCCCAGGCAACTAAGACTATGAATTGTGGAGAATGTGCCAACCTGCATTGGTAGAAAGAATTTCTCACCCCAGAGTTCCCTATGCTAATGAAACAAAAAATCCAGACCCCATCCCTGTCCCTATTCCTTTGATAATTATGCAAGGTTCCCAAAGTGGGCAATACCCCCTGGGGGGGTACTCGAATTATCTAGGGGGGCAGTAGTAGCCTTGGGTGCAATTGGAGGACATTGAATAAAAATAGGAGGTTGGTGGAAGCATAAGGAAAGAAGAGAAGATAAGAACATTTTGAAAAACCATTTGTACATGTTTCATCTGTTGTGTAACAGAGTTAAAGTCATAGTGATTAATTATTATCCAAGTAAACACACAAAATGCAAGTTATGACCAATCAGTGGTAAAGTCTGCTAGCTGGTCTTAACAAGCAAATGTTGGCAGGCAAGCCTGTTGCACGTTGTCAGGAAGTTCAGCATGCATCAGCAGAAATATGTGCGTGTAATGACTTGTTTGCAATACAATACTATACAGTTACATGATGCAATATTGTGTCATCAAAATTTCAATCCAGGAAAAAAACACAAATTTACAATCCATTAAATTTAAGATGCATCTTTTTTAAAAAAAAAATTTTTTTTGAAATGATGCAAATTTAAAACAAAACATTAAAGGGTTAAAGAAAAAAATAGATATGGGGGGGCCTGATGAGTTTTTTTTTTAAAGGGGGCCAAATAAGTTTGGGAACATCTGTTATATGTCTTCAAGGCATAGAATGCCATAGTCTCCAAAGAATTAAAGTTACAGTTCACCCAAAGGGCAATAAAGAGATGAATGATAAGCATAAGTAGACTGTTCTATATTACCAATAAAGAATTATACAAGAGAAGCAACATAAAAGATTGTCAGAGAAATGTTTGACTGGAAAGGGAAATGAACTGGTAATATAGAAAGTGAGGAATGGCTCATATATTTCATTGGTACCAATACAATTCCATCATATTAAGCGCACACCCTGTGGAAGTTTTACAGGAGGACGTGGAAAAGCATACTGGATGAGTTCAGCATGGGTTGTGATCTAAACCACTGGAAGGGGAGTATCTGCATCAATAAGATCACAGTTCCTAGGGGCAGCTAGGTGGCTCAGTAAATAGAGCTCTGGCCTTTGAGTCAGGAGGATCTGAGTTCAAATCTGGCCTCAGACACTTGAAACCTACTGGCTGTGTGACCCTAGGCAAGTCACTTAACCCCAATTGCTTCACCAAAAAAAAAAAAAATCACAGTTCCATCAAAGAATTAATAAGTTAATATAAGAGCAATAAATCATAGAATTCTTAAAGTATAACCCATTTTAAATGGATTAAGGGGAAATTTTTTTTATTCAGTTGGTAATTAACACATGCAGTTTCTAGAGGAACTTATTTGAGGCAAGTAGCTTAGCAAGATACAACCATGTAGAAAAAGAGCATCTCATGTGAAAAACAGCAGCAACTGCTGGTTATGCAAAGAGCTTCCAAACTTTACATATCAACATATAAAACAGAGTGAAACTTTTCCATTTATGTAGTAGGATTATTCATTTGGTTTATTTCCATCTGACCTAACACACCTTGGATTGTATAATTTGTGATAGACTGTTAGCTTCAGCTAAATACCCCAGTAACTATTGCCTGTTGTTCAGTAGTACTCAAATGGTGTTAGTTTGTCGACAGAAATATTCCATCAGGTTCTCTTTCTGTTAGTCTCAAATACTTTTGAAAGATGACATGGAAGGTCACTGAATTTACCACTGACATTTTTTTAAACTATTTGGAACACAGCAACTAAGTTTATATAAGAGAGTCCCTTGGCTTTAGGACAGATCGATATTCGCTAGTATCTGATTGTTTCATGTGAGTGTATCAGTACTGCTGACTTTAAATTGTTGGTGGGCTTTCAAAATGTTTTCCATTATATTGCTAGAAACACTTTTACCTTATTGATTTAAAAGTGTCTGACTTTTCTATTCTCTGGCCATATGAGTAGTTCTATGACTTACTTAGATTCTTAAAACTAAAGTCATAGCCCAAATAGATCATCTTCTGTTAGTTAAAAAGGGCCTAAAAGTTAAGCAGAAGTTGTTCTGTGCAATAAGTATAGTAATGTTTCATTCATTTGAACTGTATTCAGAATTTGATTATTTGACTTAAAGGCTAAAATTTACTTCCAAGTATATGAGAAGGAAAATCTCACAAAAATTTATATTAACAAGATATCAAGCAACATGGGAGAACAAACTTTTAAAAGGACATGTTTTGTATAATTATGTTTATATGTAACAGATGTACTTCATCTGTTCAGTTAAAGCAGTTTTCATTTATCTTGCATCCTTAGCACGTAGCACAGTGCCTGACACATAGTAATGACTTAATAACTGTTTTAATGAATAAATACTTGGACACTTGTCAGCAATTAGCTGAAATGTACAGTATATACTTAAAAGCAGCAAAACATTTCTTTTAAAATATAAATAAGATTTTATGCTAATTTATATATGTGCTCCTCCAAGCAATCCAAAATGTTGAAGTTCTTTGTGCATTTTTTAAAAGTAGCTTGTGGTGCTAAAATTTCTGAAACTACTATTACCAGATTTAAAGTAATAAGCTAGATGATGCAGGGTGCAAGACCTGAGTTCAAATCCTGCCTCAGATACTTCCTCACTGTGTGACCCTGAGAAAGTCACTTTATTTCTCTCTGCCTCATTTTCTCCCTCTGTAAAATGGGGTAACAAGTAGCACCTACCTCTTAGGGTTGTTAAGAAGGTAAAATTTGTAAAGCACTTTGCAAACCTTCAAGTGCTACACAAATGCCAACTAAGTGTTAATTAGAATCCAAGGAGAATAAGCATTTGGGCTTCAGCATAGTTTAATTAGGAAAATCTCTACTTGATGTTTGGGCAAAGCATTTTTAGAAGGGTCAAAAAAATGAATCTACTGCAATGTGCTAAAACTGGAATAACTTTACCTGTCCTGTATGATCAAGGACCTTCAACTACATACTTCGGGAACTTCCCAAAGTGCCGACCCATGTGCCCGTGTGTGTGCTGGGGAACTACAGAGACATGGGGGAACACCGAGTCATCCTGCCAGATGATGTGCGGGAGTTTATTGATAACCTCAACAGGTAGGTGGTGTCAGGCAGTGCTTGCTTTCTATAATCATGTTCGTCTTTGTCCTACTTTGCCTGGACAGTCAAGTACTCTCCTAGTTCTCATCTTTGTGTCCCCAACATTAGTAATGTACCCTGCTCATAGGAAGCATGTAACAAATATTTTTTGAATTGAACAAAATAATTCTGTGTTCCAAACTGCGTATTAGTATTAGATGAAAATCTTTCCATTCAAATAAATGATAATGGTTCATTCAATTAAACATTTGTTAAGCACCTTCTATGTGCAAGATGCCAGGGATACTGAGACAAAGACAAAAGTGTCTGTATGGTCAAGATGCCTACATAATCAAACACTCATTGAGTACCTGTACTTTACTTGGCATTGTGCTGTATCAGGAGTAAGGGGAGGAAGGGACAAATGAAAAAGTATAAGACATAGTCCCTGCCCTCTAGGAGCTCCCATTTTTGTTACATTCTCCCTTCCCACACCTACCCATAAATTATTAAGGGCAGGAACTGTTTCATTTTTGTCTTTTTATCCCCAGCACCTAACATTTCCTTATAGATAGCAGGCACTTAAGTTACTAAATGCTACTGGAATATACATGTATAATTTTCAGCACATAAATGGATATATACTATGATCTCAGCAATGAGCCCTCTTTAACATAGGTGTGGCACCCCTTCTCACACACTAAGGACCATATCCCTTATTAGGACAAGGAATCACAGAAAGCCATCGTGGCTTCATGAAGAATAAGTCATGATAGCTTAACCTTAATACCTTTTTTTTTTCCAGGTTCAGTAGACTGGTTGGTAGATAAGGGAAATACTATAATTATAGTTAACTTAGATTTTAGTGAAACATTTGATGATACCACTAGTGCTATTATTGTGGAAAGGACAGAGGTGTGGCAATAATAATAAAATAGGTGGGTTCAGAGTTTATTGAATGGTCATATCCAAAAACTAGTCACTTATAAATAGTTTCATTTTGAAATGAAATCTAAGTGCCTCAGAGATCCATACTTATCCCTATGCTGTTAACATAAAAGTATAGGTGGTATGATTATCAGTTTGCAGGTGACACAAAACTGGGAGGGATAGCTAGTACATTGGATGACAGAGTATGGATTCAAAAGATTATTGACAGGCTAAAACATTGACTGAATCTAATAGGATGAAGTTTAATAGAAACAAATGTAAAATATGCTTGGCTTCAAAAATTCAACCTTACAAATATAAGATGGGAGTGTGGCTATACAACAATTCTTCAGAGAAAGATCTATAGGTTTTTAGCAAAGAGCAAGCCCAATATAAGTCAACAGGGTGATATGGCAGTCAGTCAAAAAGGATTTATTAAGCTCTTACTATATACCAGGTACTGTGCTAAGCACTGGGAGTACAAAGAAAGACACAAACAATCCTTGACTTCAAGAAGCTTACGTTCTGATGAGGGAGACAACATACATAAATAGATTTTTACAAGATACATAACAGAGGAAATGGAAGGTAATCAGGGAAGACAGTAGCAGCTGAGAACACTGGAGAAGATCTTCTGCAGAAGGTTGGATTTGATCAGTCTTGAAGGAAGCCAAGGTTTCTAAGAGATCAAAGTGAGGAGGAAGAAGAGCATTCCAGGCATGGGAGAAATCAATGCAAAGGCACACTGGGGTGTCATGTGTGAAAAATGGCAAGTAAGCTAGTGTAACTTCATTGAAAGCATGCACAGAGGGAGGAAAATATGAGAAAACTGGAAGTATAGGAAGGGGCCAGGTTGTGAAAAACTTTAAATGACTAAGAACTTTATATATGGTCCTGGAGTAACAGGGTGACATGGTCAGACCTGCACTTTGATCATTTCAGCAGCCAAGTGGAGGATGGATTGAAATGCAGGGAGATAAATTAGAAGGAGATTGTAATAGCCTAAGTAAGAAGTGATGAGGGCCTGAACTGGTGGCATTGTGAGAGAAGGTGATATGTACAAGAGATGTGAAGGTAGAAATGATAGAGATAAAGGTAGTCAAAGATTTGGCAACAGATTGGATATATGGGGTAAGAGTGAAGAGTCAGGGATGACACCAAGATTTCCAATCTCCTTGGCTAGGTTAGACATTAATAAGATGGGAAGAGGAAAGGATTTGGAGAAAAATTAATGAGTTCTGTTTTAGAATTGTTGAGTTCAAGATATCCAAAAGGCAGTTGCTGATTCCAGACTGGAGCTCAGGAAAGAGACTAGGGCTAGATGTATAGATTTGGGAATCATCTGCATAGAGATGATAATTTAACTTATAGGAGCTGATGAGATCATCAAGGGAGAAAAAAGAGAAGAGGACCCACGACAGAGCCTTTGTTAGCAAGCATAACATGGATGAAGATCCAGCAAAGAAAACTAAGAAGGAGCAGTCAGACAGGTAGGAGTACCAAGAAAGAGCAGTGTAATGAAAACTTAGATAATTGATAGTATCCAGGAGGAAAAGGTGATCAGCCAGGAAAACTCATGCAGTATTAGGCTCCGTTAAGAAACGCATAGAGTTCAAATAGTGCATTCAGTTCTAAGCACTACATTTTAGGAAAGATACTGATTAATAAGCTGGAGAGAATCCAGAGAAAGGTATACGGGATGATGAAAGGCTTCATTCAGTTCATGCCATGTGAGGATTTGTGACTGGAATTGGAGGTGTTAAATCTGAAGAAGAGATAACTTTTGGGAACATGATAACTCTTTAGGGTTATCTCATGGAAGAGCAGTTAGATTTGGTCTGTTTGGCCGTGTGGGGCAGAACTAGGAGTAGTAGGTGGAAATTGCAAAGAGCTAAATTGAGGCTTGATGTAAGGAAAAACTACTTACAATTGGAGCCATGTCAAATTGGAATGGGCTGCCTCTGATAGTAGGGGATTTCCCCACTGGAGGTCTTCAAGCAAAAGATAGAGGACTACTTGTTAGGTATATCTGATTCTTGTTTGGTTTATTGGTTGTGTTAGATGGCCTCTGAAATTCCTTCTGCTTCTAAGATTCTGTGAATAAAAATTCACAGATCTACCAGATCTGTGTGACTAGGATATAGACATCAATATAAAGCCTTTCTCTTTGCATATTTTTCCCTATTTGTGTTCCCAAATTCCATTTCCTCATGCATGGTTGTGATTCCATTTGCCTCACATGTTTGTCTCCACTAAAAAGTAATTTTAGCACAGCATATTACTACTCTGCCACCTTGTTAAGTTGCAGATATGACCTTGGATTCTTGGAGGCTATGCCAGTAGAGTGTACGTACTGGCAGGTCCTTCCAAGATAGAAAGGCTTTGACCATACCTCCAGCAGTGGATTACATGCCTTTTGTCTAGGATTAACCCAAACTAGTTAGTAGAGGTTCACCATAGGCTAGGTATCAGAAGAAAAATTTTTGACGAGAACAAGTAATAAAGACCCATATACAAAATTGTAGAGAGATTTCTGTTGGCATTAATAAAAGAAATACCTACACTGATGGAATTAAACATTTTTTAAGTTTGTCATATATAAAATTAAAGTCATGAAGTATTGTCACACAATCTGCATGTTATTTCTTTTGAATTCCTCAATCTCCCAGCTAATGCTCTGGTCTCCATCAAGCTATAATTGAGCTCAATCTGTACACGTAGAACATGTGTACATGATCCTTATATGAACCAGTTGTTTTATAATGCTTAATAACCTAACCCTAGTTCACCCATTTTAATTGGAAAGAAAGTTAGAGTTATGAGGTTTTTGTTCAGTCACCCATTAATGGGGGGGGGGGGGCCCACAGCAGTCAGACCTCCACATCCAAGAACAACTATGTCAAACCTTTTTCTAGCTTTCTAAGAAGCACTTAAGTCTCGCTTTTGTTTAAGAATATAAATTCAAGCCTCAAACACATAACACTTATTAGCTGTGTGACCCTGGGCAAGTCACTTAACCCCATTGCCTAGCCAAATATGTGTATGTATATATAAAAATTCAACCATGAACTTCCCTTAGGGTTGAATATCACCTACAAGCCAAGGGCATTCATCTTGGATGAAGAGGTTTGCCCAGAATAAGACATTCCATATTCAGGCACTAACCTTTTTGCTATTTCGTGCCTTTTGGATAGTTTTTTAACTTCTTTTGCATTATCTTTCTTCCTAAAACAGACCTCCAGGTTCCTCTTACTTTCGATATGCTGAATCTTCCATGAAAAATAGCTTTGGCTTGAAGTACCTGCATAAATTCTTCAATATTCCATTTTTACAGCTGCAGGTAAGTTCTTTTTGGGGCAAGGACTGGAACTATGGGCAGTCAAGTGACAAAAGAGAAGAAAATGGCTTTTGTGAATGATAACAGGGCAGTTTTCCTTGATAATTTCCTTTTTTAATATAAATTCCCCCCTTCCAAAGATGGTGTGCAATCTGATATAGGCTCTACTTATACATTCATATTAAACATATTTTCACATTAGTCATGATGTAAAGAAGAATTAAAACTAATGGGAGGAACCATAAGAAAGAAGAAACAAAACAACAAAAGAAAAGGAGAGCAAATAGTATGCTTCCATCTTCATTCAGACTCCGCAGTTCTTTTTCTGGATGTGAATAACATTTTCCATTGTGAGTCTTTTGGAGGTGTCTTAAATTCTTGCATTGCTGAGAAGAGCTAAGTGTGTCACAGTCAGTGTGGCTGTTACTGTGTACAGTGTTCTCCTGGTTCTGCTCATTTCACTCTGTGTCAGTTCATATAAGTCTTTCCAGGTTTTTCTGAAGTCCACCTGCTCATCATTTCTTATAGCACAATACCATTCCATTACATTCATATACCACAACTTGTTCAACCATCCCCAATTGATGGACATTCCCTCAGTTTCAAATTCTTTACCACCACAAAAGAAGCTGCTATAAATATTTTTGTACAAGTGGGTCCTTTTTCCCTTTTTGTGATCTCTTTGGGAATAATTTCTTAAAAGATGCTGTCCGGGCTTCTTTTTTTTTTTTTTTTTTTTAATCATGGTCTTCAGGTAGTTCAATACTTATTAAATTATCTCTCCTGGATCTATTTTCCAGGTCAGTTGTTTTTCCAATGAGGTATTTTACATTTTCTTCTAGTTTTTCATTTTTTTGATTGTGTTTGGTTAATTCTTGATGTCTTGGTCATTAGCTTCCACTTGCCCAAATCTAATTTTTAAGGAATGATTTTCTTCAGTGAGCTATTGTACCTCCTTTTCCATTTGGCTAATTCTACTTTTCAAGGAGTTGTTTTCTTCCATGAATTTTTGTACATCTTTTTCCATTTTCGTATTTCTTTTACCAAGCTGTTGACATATTTTACATGATTCTCTTGCATAACTCTCACTTCTTTTCCCAATTTTTTTTTTTTGTATCTCTCTTAATTGATTTTAAAAATCCTTTTTGAGCTCTTCCAGGAGGATTTTGTGGGCCTGAGACCAATTCATATTTCTCTTTGTGGCTTTGCATCTAAGCATTTTGCCATTGTTGTCCTCTTCTGAGTTTGTGTTTTGATCTTCCTTGTCTCCATAGTAGTTTTCTGTGGTCAGGGCTCATTTTCCAGCCTATTTTGTGACTTTGAAAGTAGAGCTCTGCTCTTAGAGTACGGAGTACACTATCCCAGGCTTCTTGCAGCTCAGGCTAGGGATTTGGCCACAGGTTCACCTGCTGCACTAGGGTCACCCAGCCTGGTTGTGCCTGCTACATCAGGGCCTGTGGACCTGCCTGGCCTAGCCGCTAACACTGCTGCACTGTGGCTAAAGGCCACACAACTATCCCACTGTGCCTCTAGCCTGCTGAGTCAGGGGCATAGGACCTCAGTTGCTGATCTATGCGGGGGCTAGGAGCCTACCACTGACTTGCCTGGACACTGCCTATGTTGGGCTGCACTCCCCTTATACCCATGTGAGACAGATCTTTCCTGTAATACTTCTAAGTTATCTTGGCCTGGAAAATTGTTTTACCTCATCCTTTTGTAGGTTTTTGTCACTCCAGAATTTGTTTTGAGATGTGATTTAAATTTGTTTCAGGAGGGGAATTGGTGACAGCTCAGGCAATTTCCTGCCTTTTCCCTACCATCTTGGCTCCACCAGCTTTTGTGACCAAGTTAGATTTCTCCGAAATATTTTGTTCCTTATTTCATTTTTTTTTTTTAGTGAGGCAGTGGGGGTTAAGTGACTTGCCCAAGGTCACACAGCTAGTATGTGTCAAGTGTTTGGTCTGAGGCTAGATTTGAACTCAGATCTTCTGACTTCAGGGTCGGTGCTCTATCCACTGCGCCCCCTAGCTGCCCCATTTCATTTTTTTTTCCACTAAGGGTATGGCTATTCAAAATTCAGGAAGCATTTATTAAGTGTCTGTTGTGTTCAAGGAATTTAGGATACAAAAGCAAAAGTGAAAAGAATAGTCTCCTCCTTCAAGAAACTTTATAGTCTTCAAAAAGAATACAACATTTACCAAGTTTGGGCTTGTAAGGGAGGATAAAGAGATGAATTATCTACAGATGGAAATGTTCAGCAGGCAGCTCAGGAAAGAAATTTGGAGCTAACTATAGATAAATGAGCTTTTGGGAACTGATGAGATCTCAGAGATTTGTGAAAAGAGAGAGAATAGTCTAGTATGTACCTTAGGGAAACCCACATGGGAGTAAGAAAAAGTTGACAAGGATCCAGAAAAAAAGAAAGAATCACTGAATTTCAAAGTTAGAAAGGACCTCAGTGACCATCCGGACCAACCCATACACAAAAAAGCATCCCTGCTATAATATGCCCAACAAATGGTAGTTCAGCCTCTGCATGAAGAATTCCAGGAAGTAGGTAAGTAAGGAAATTGTAAGAAAATGCCTCACTACCTTTGATGAGTTCAAGTTACCCAGCTTAGATAAACTGTATCTTCCAAACCTGGAATAACAGGCAGATCTAATTGCTGAGCAACTATCAGTGATTTCTGAAAGATCAGGGAAAACAGGAGAGGTACAACAAAATGGGAGAATGGCAGTTATCCCAATTTTCAAAAAACGGGAGGCAACAGGGTCCAGATTATTACTTATTGGAGGCGTCAATTGCCTGTTAGTCATTTTTTGTTCTGTCATTTCTAGTTTAATTCTCCTTTGGACAATCCATAAGGTCTGACTGCTCCTCCCTCCAAACTCTTTGAAATTTGCTCTCCCCAGATATACTATGCATATCACATTGTGTTAGGCTTTCCTCTCCTTTATCACAAACTCTAAGAAGTCACTTGCATCTAAAGTAGACTTTCTCCTCATTGGTTCCTCTACCTTTTTAAAGATGAAATTATTAAAGCAAATCAAAAAGTTAGTAGTTCTGCTTTTGGTAGAAAAGAGAACTATAGAACATATCTGGATAATTGAAGTTTAGCATCACTCCAGTATCATACCTTTATGTCAGATTGGTGATCTATTTGCCAAACTCCTCATCTATTTACTCTTTCTTTCCAGGTGGTCTATAATGACAAAATTGTTTGATTCATATTTTAATCCTAAGTCTTGCATTTCCAGCTTTCTATTGGACATCTCTAATATATCTTAAAATCAACATAGACTGTCAAGAGCACCACCATCCTCCTAGTCACTCATTTGCAACCTTGGTTTTATCCTCAATTCCTCACTCTCACCACATATATCCAGTCTATTTCCAAGTCTTGTCATTTCCACTATTGAAATAGCCTTCTCATTAGTCTCTGCTTTAGGTCTCTCTCTACTCCAGTCCTTTCTTTCCCTGAGCTGCCAAAGTGATCTTCCTAAAGTACAGGTCTGACCAGTAAACTGACACAGCAACTCCATGGGCTTTCTGTTATATCCTCAATCAAATTAAAAATCCTCTAGTTGGATAATTAAAGTCCTTCACAACTTGACTTCTTCCTGCCTTTCTAGTCTTCTTATGCTTTATTCCTCCCCCCACATACTCTACCATCCATCAACACTGACCTTCTTGATGTTCTTCACATATGATACTCCATCTCCTGATTCCATTCCTGGAATTCTGACCTTCAACTCTGCTTCCTGACTTTCCTCAAGACTCAGGTCAAATCTCAAATCTTCTGCAAGACACCTTTCCCACCCCTCACCCTCTCCTTATTCCCACTGCTAGTGTCTTGCCTCTGAGATTACCTCCAGTTTACACAGTACATATCTTATAGATACATAGTTATTTGCATCTTGTCTCTCCCATTAGAATGTGAACTCCTTGAGGTCAGGTACTCTTTTTTGCCTTTCTTTATATTCCCAGAATTTAGTACAGTGCCTGGAACGTATTAAGTGTTTAATAAATGCCTATCAATCTGGCTTAATCTTAGAGATAATAGCCATTGAAATGAATTGAGCAGATAAGCAGCATAATCAGATCTGTGGCTTAGGAAAATTACTAGGCTATATAAAAGATAGATTGGAAGAAGAGCAATGGTCCAGAAAAACAGTTAGATATGAAAGATGTGGAGAGAGAATCAACAAGACTTGGAAACTGGTGGTAAATGTGGGATGAGGGAGAAAGAAATCGAAAATGACTCCTAGGTCATGAACCTAAGTAGCTATTAAGATTGGAGTAGCCTTCACAGAAATAAGAAAGTTTGGAAGAAGAGAAGCTTTGAGCCCAAAAATAATGAGTTCTGTTTTTGACATGTAGAGTTTGAGATGTCTATCCAGGGGTGGGGAACCTGCAGTCTTGAGGCCACATGTAGCCTCCTAATTCCTTGGGTGTGGCCTTTTGACTGAATTCATATTTTACGAAACAAATCCTGTGAAGTTTGGATTCAGTCAGAGGATGTAGAGGACCACATGTGACCTCAAGGCCTCAGGTTCTCCAGGTTAAATCCCCTGGATTTAAATGCATGCAATAGGCAATGGGTAATGTGGAACTGGAACTTTGGAGACAGAGTAGGGCTGGATATAGAGATCTTCAAGTCACCCACATGGCAAGAAAACAAGCATTTATTGTTTGCTGTGTGTCAGGCACTGTACTAAGTAAGCACTGAGGATACAAATACAAGCAAAAAGAAAAACATTCCCTGCCTTCAAAGAATTTGCATTCTAATGAAGGAAAATAACCCACAAAAGTGAGCTGAAAAGGGGGATAGAATGAAAAGGAACCCCAGTGGGGGCATGTTGACAAAGTCCAAGAGAATCTGAAACACAGAAAGAAGGAAATGAAGCATGCCCAATCTGCTCCTGTTCCCAAAATTGAGACCCCTGGAAGGAACTGGGGGGTGGAGGCTAGCATGGTAGAAGGATTTTCTAGGATAAGAAGA